GGAAAAGGAGGTAAGACTGTAATATGGCTAGAGAAGGTCAAAGGGGTATTCTAGATGTAGAGAATAACAAAGGAGAGAAAAGCCCCAAAGTGCAATTTGGCTTGTGACGTGAGCTGGTGAGAATGATGATAAAACTAGAAGGCTGGGACCCCGTCCCGAAAGGTTACCTGCGAGTGGACTGGACCTTTTGTAATAGTGCAATGCCAGGGAAGGTTTCAGGAGCAGGTGACAGAGTCAAGGCAGTGCTTAGGAATATTCAATTGGCAATACCTGGTGAAAAAGGCTGGAAGGGTCCATGACCCTTGTGAATGGTCAGCAGAGCCTAAGTTAGGGTGAATGCAAATGGTAGGTCTGAAGGACGCCTCCACAAAATCTCTCTGAAGTTCAAACTAAGAAAACATTTTTTTTAAAGATTTATTTATATATTTTAGAGAGAGGAGGGTGGGGGAGAGGTAGAGGGAGGAGAGAGAATCTCAAGCAGACGCCCTGCTGAGCGCAGGGCCCGGCACAGAGCACAATCTCAGGACCCTGACATCATGACCTGAGCCAAAATCAAGAGTCAGATGCTCAACCAACTGAGCCACCCAGAGGCACCCTAAGAAAACATCTTAAACAAAGAATACTCCCGGCAAATTAGATGCCTAATATCAGGAAATGGGCACTTCATCATGGGCTGTCTTCAATCACCATTAGGATCATTGATGATCAGAGCTAGAAGGAAACTTAGAAATCAGGTTGTAGCCTCATTTATAGGTAAGCAAGCAGGTTCAAAGAATTAAGTAATGTGTCAAAATTGCAAAGATGGCGAATGCCCAGGAGAAGATGCTAGAACTCGGCTTCCTCAATACCCGGAAGCCTGGGGACTCCCCTAAGAAAAGCTTTGTTACATCATTCCATATTCTTTTCTTAGGCACTGACGACTCCTTTGGTCTCCCTGGCTGGTGGCTCTCCACCCCCCTACTCTAAGAGCATGGCCCTTTCATGCTTTCACCCATTTCCTTGGCTACAACTAGTAGCTTTATGTAAAATCATCCAATGAAGAGCCTCAGGTCTTGACCTTTTTCCTCAAACTGGACCTACACTGCACATCTCCACCCAAGCCCCAAAACACGGTATATTATTTCCCTCTCTTACTCCTTTTAAGTCTCCTACTGGAATTAATGGCTCATCCAGTTAACGTAGGCTAGAAACATTGGAGTCACCTTTAATTCTGGCCTCTCTCTTTTGCTATCCTAAATGCCTCTTAAAATTTCCCTTCCATTTTACAGGCAAAGCCATAGTCCAGGACTTCATTACCACCCCCTGGACTGGGGCTTATATTCTAATCAGGGGCCCTGTCAATCATCTTTTCCTCAGGCAATCTGTCTTCAATTACCCTTCATTTACCTTCTTTAAATACATATTTGAACCCCTTAAAGTTCAAGCTCTCTTGACTTCTTACTTGAATTACACAGCGTCCTAACTGAGGGGTTGGTAAATTGTTTCTGTTAAGGGCCAGGCGATAAATACTTGAAGGCTTTGAGGACCATACTCAATTCTGCCATGATAGCCCCAATACATAATGCATAAAGGATAATCATGTCTGTGTCCAATAAAACTTTATTTATAGGTATATAATTTTTATGTGTCACAAAACGTTTTTTTTGTTTGTTTGTTTGTTTGTTTTCCCCAGCTATTTAAAAAATATAAAAACCATTTTTAGCTCATGGACAAAAAGAAACAGGCCATATTTATTGGCTGTAGTTGCTGACTCTGCCCTAACTGGTCTTCCTGTTTCCTACATCAGCTCTCCAAGTTTACTCTCCATGCTGTTGAGTCAGAATACTGACCCAAAGATGTGATCATGTTGACAGCCTTGCTTAAAATATATCAAGAGTAAACCATGACTTTCAGAATGGCCAAAACTCCAGAATATGGACCACAAGGCCCTTCCTCTGATCCCTGTTTGCCTTTTCCAGGCTTATCCCCTGCCAAACACCTAACCTGATTGTAGAGTTTATGTTCCGTCCCATCTTTGTGTCTCTGTAGATATTGCTCCATCCACCCAGGGTACCCACTCCACCTTCTTCCACACTGAGAATTGCTATTCAAGAGCTCATTAATCCAAATAGCTACCAAACATCTCCTCCTCCAGAAAGCTTTCGCCATCATCTTTGTCTCCAATGCACAGTACGCCAATTCTCCTTCCTCTGTGCTCCTGTAGTAATTTTATTTCTATCACTGCAGTACTCTCACACTTGATTATAACTGCACACATGGAGCTGGCTCAGGAGCACAGCCCTACGGGGAAGAACTCAATCTGATGGTTTTCTCCTTACCCAAGACCAAGCAATGTACTTGAAAGATAGTAGGTGCTCAATAAATATTTGTTGAGTGGGTGAATGTTATTCTTACCAGTTGGGCCTTTCAGTAAATGTTGTATTTCTATTTTCCATTTTTTTAAAGTTATCTCTATGCCCACACGTGGGGCTCAAACTCACAACTCCAAGATCAAGAATCACATGCTCCACCAACTGAGCCAGCCAGGCATTTTTCCATTTTTTAAGTCTAATTTTCCATTTTCCATTTTTAAGTCTAATTAGACAATAAAGGGAAATAACAGACAAACGATAGCTTATTTTTCTTTCAGACTGATCTACAATCAATACTCCAGTTTTTAAATTTTCTTTGCCCTGGGAGATCTGCATCCTTACTTCATCATTACTTATAACATGGTTTTCATATTCAATTTTAAACTTTGTGCAGACTATGTCATTCGAAATATTTATGTTAACACTAAGCTACCTGTGTGGGATTTATTTATTTCGGCTGGTCTACACAGGGAAAGAAAGACATAATGTTTCTCAGCCACACACTTGAGTATACTGAATCAATAAAGACTGTCGAGGAAAAGCAAACTCTAAAAAAAAACAAAGAAGTATATCAGAAATATTTAGCCCAACAACCAAGACACATTTTCAGTGCAAAAGAGAGCTACACACGGTTCTCTGCATTTTTAATTGTCATCTTTAAATTTATGAATGTGGATTTTATAAAACAGGAACAGAGACTAAATGTAAAATGCTTACAAAAGAGTACTGCACTTAGAAAATGGCTAATTTTTATTTTCCCTAAAACTAGTTTTCAATTTTTGTAGACTTGCTGTAAATAAAGCTCAACAGAAAAAGCTTTCTATGGAACCAAGCAAACCCGTTTTTCTCAAGAACAAAGGAATTAGTTACCACTGGTCCATTTTCAGCAGTTGCTGTACCTCAAATACGCTCTATTTGCAAGAAACTGGTCTTGTCAGACAGTACAAATTGATACTGCACAGGAAAACTCCCTGTAGGACCCTGACTTCAGAAATTAACTCTCTGAATAAGACAGAATGGCAAAGGGGACAAAACCAGCATTAATATTTATTTACCGAAGCTCAGACACACTGAGACTTTGAAGGCTGTCCTATTTTTGTGGTTTAGTAGTGCTTAGCACACAAATGATTGTTTCCCAACAGAAGCCTGACAGAAGAAAAACTATTAACTATCATGATAAAGCTAAATTTCGAAACTTCTGAGATTAAATAATCCATTGGAACTGTGTTAACATTATGTTCTCAGTTCTACAAGACAATACCTTGAATGAGCATTAAAAGAACCATTATTATTCTACAGTATTAAGCAATTTTTTCTCATAAAAGTGTTTTATCTCTTGGGATTTTTCCAGATATCACAAGTGTATAAAGGATTTCTTTTCTTTCTGGCTTTTTCCCTTTTTCTTTCTTCTCATTTTCTCTTTCACGGTTTAAAAAGGGAAGTTGGCAAACCATTTGGAATATTATCATAACAAAATGTTTTCAACAAAGTTTGATTTTAACAGAACTAGAGGCATCTTAACACTAACCCAAAACTTTGGGAGGTTCACCAACCTCTAGAATATTTTTTCTCCAAATGCAGGCTGTTCAAGTGGTGCTTTTCTCCATCTGTTATCATACCGTGCTCAGAATTACATTGTCATATTTAATGTAAAAGGGATCAGTCCCCTTTCATAGTTTAAATTCAACATATTACTATGATTAGAAGATCAGCATTTTTCTAATTTATGAACCAAACCAAGGCTCATAAACTTACATGTGTATTTAGAGAAAGTTCTCCATAAAAACCAAAAAACTCTTAAGAACTGAACAAACCCAAACGCTTGATCTGAAACATGAAAATGTACTAAAACCCGAAGTGAGAAAAACCACTTATATGGTAACATGAAATATCTGCAACCTCTGTTTGAATTTTCTCTGTGTATGTGCATTTGTGTATATGCATGCGTGTGTGTGTGTGTGTATGTACGTGTGTCTTTTCCACACAGCAAATTATACAGTGCTTGCTACCTAAAATGTCTCCTTGTCACCTAGAGCTGAGCTACATGTTCCCTAAAGTTGTAGGACACTGATAATCACATCGCATTATCTTGTGACAGAAACCGTGTAATTCGAAACCACAAGAGCATGGTTATAATAACGGTTTGAATGTGAACAGTGTCAGTCAATTTCATCACTCAATTCTATACCTCCTTAGGACTCAGGTTCCTTATTTTCTCTCTGTTCTGTCTCAGTTTGCATCTGAGGATGCCTTTTACTTTGTCTCATTCACTACTGACAGTATCTGATTCTTTTCCTAAATATATTCCTCAGATCTTTCAGTTCAACATTTTTATTAGACACAGAATTAACAGGAGAGGTAGTGGTGGTGGTAGGAGAAATATGTCATGTTGCTCCTATTGGTAGAGAACCACCTAAATATTTGAGCATTGTAGATGAAAGGTTTTGTAATCTATCAGTAATTCCCTGCCACACTTATCATTCACATGTCTGGGTGTTTTGCTTACCACATCTCCACTTTTCTTAATATGCCTGAAAGCTGTGTGTGAATTGAGTGACTAAGACTAACTCTAACAACTGTTTGGAAGCCGGTGGCAAAAATCAGTGGGATGGCACTGGGGCTCTGGCGCGTAATGGGATTAGGGAGTACCTGGTGAGGTGCAGTTGGTGCTCGGATTCGCTCAGCAGCTCTGTCAGTTTCAGGCACTCCTCTCTGGCCCGGGCTGCCTTCTGCTGTTCCTGTTCCAAGTGCTGCTTGCTTTCCCTCACTTCTAATTTCAATTTCTCTATTTCCTTAGGTGGAGGGGAGAGGGGGAAAAGCATCCATATAAGCTATATGCACTTGAGTTCAAAATGCTCTCATTTTTATGTTTGCTGTGAATTTTAATGTGATGAGAAATTATTAGAAAATTTAGGCTAGCTTCCATTTGATGACAAAGGGAATGAACACAGCCAAAAATGCACACTAGTGAGGTTTTTTTGGATCGTAAGATGAAGTCTAATTTCAGAAATGAAATGATTAAATGAGAGGAGTCAAAATGGATAATCGGCACTCTCATTCTTAAGGCTCAGTCCCTTTAAAGAATATGAACTTAAAAATGTCACTACTTTAAAAATATAACATTTTCATTTGTGAGATTAGATCAGATCCATGTAGTGATTTACATCAAATATGTGAATATTCTGAAAGGTATATTTATGGTTTCATTTGGATGTTTTGAAAGCCAGATTAAAGGGTAAAATAATATATCTTTTAAAAAATGTGAGGTATAAAAGAAGGCATCATTATTGCTGCTCAACATTATTTGGGAAAAAGATATTTTAGGAAAAAATATGGCATGAGAACCTTTAAGCCTTTAGAGTACATGAGATTTCTCAGCTAAAATAATATTACACTATAATGTCACTAAAAAAGGTAACAAAAGCACTCTAAGATTAATAAATATGAACATCTAAAATATATGAAAATTTATGATAGTTTATTCTTTGGTCTCAGGATGAAATTATCCTTCTCTTACTGCAACTCAAATATTTCAAAGCAAAAATACCTTATATGGAACACAGTTTTAAATAATGTATACACTAAAGTAGAAATATTTATCATGGAACATCTATAATTTAAAAAAAAAATAAAAGAGATAAATATTCAGACTGTTAAAACCAGAAAAGCAAATAAAAGGGAAAGCAAAAGGTAGAAACATTTTCAGATTCAACATAAAGCAAGAAGCAATTTTAATTCACAAAAACGCAATCTCCTTTTGGAAAACAAAATCATGTCTAAGTAAAGTGTTTTAAACTTAGTATTTAAGAACATTTCAAATTTCCTCACGTCATTACTCAACATGCTGAGCACTCTCTAACTACATTTAATACATCAGGCAAGATAAACTAAATGATTCGGGTTTTTTTTTACATTTATTACATTATAAATATTGTTTATGCCCATCAAATCGTATATTATCCACAATTTAATAAAACAACTTATAACAAGTTCTCAAATATTTTTAGCTTCAAAAACCTATATAATAACGAGTCTATCACTTTCATTCAGAGTAGATTTTCTATATCTTTCAGATCAGAATACTAAATGCAACTGATCTCTTTCCGTAAAACATTTCAAACTGATAAAGTTATACCAGTTTATTTCTCATCCCATAATTTAATACAATTCAAGATATGAAAAACATCAAAGTCTATTAAGTTTTATTCGCCTAACATAAAATTAACAAAAGCAAATGTGTATAGAATTGGAAATATATGTTGATTTTAAAACTTCAAAAATTCACTCATTAATTTTGTACACAATGCTATATGCAAGAAACCGCCCTGAGTATTATGATGGGCTCAGAGAGCCTCCATCCCTACGCTCAGGAGTTAACAATTCAGGTAGGTAAATGAGACGTACACACACACACACACACACAACTATCAAACCACAAAGCACATAAGAAACAAGTGAGTATTAGAGAAAATCTCTGCTTCGATAGGTCAGATTAGGGATATATTAGCATGGGCAAGAAAAGTGGAAAGAGGTAAGGGCACAGTAACTCATCGAATGACAGATGGGACTGCATTGTGAAAGGTCTTGACTTCCAGATGAATAAAGTTGTATTTTGCTTATAGATAATGGAGAGATATTAATGGTTTAAACAATTGAATATGAGAGAAGTTCTTCTTTAAAACAACTGGAGCCCTGTTTATGAGCAGTTTAAGGTGGCAGAGACTGGCGGAAGGGAGACCATGAAGAGAGTCACAATATTCCAGACGTGAGAATAGAGACACTTCAAATGAACATAAAGTTGGTGAATACAAGGACATAAAAGGAGACATCAAAGACAACTCCAGAATTTTGAATTGAGAGGATACAAAAAAATGATAGAAAATGTATAAAAATCGCAAATTTTTTAAAGAGAAAAGAGGTGACAATTTTTATAAGCACTATGTGACAATAACAAGACATGCACACTTCCATTGGTAATTAGGTTTTGAGTATAAATCAGCTGCTTTCTTGTTCTCATGTAACAAAAAGTCAGAGGTTGCACTGAAAGCCAATCAAACACAGAAAGAAAAACATGGGCCCCACTTATGATGATGAGCACTGGGTGTTACACGTAAGTGCTGAATCACTAAATTCTACACCTGAAACCAATTTTACCATATATGTTAACTAGCTGGAATTTAAATAAAAACTTGAAAAACAAAGCAAAACAAAACACACATGGGCCCCAGAGTCAACACAAATCAGGGCTTCAGACACAGCTCTGGCACTTTCCAGCCCTGTGACCTTGGACAAGTCACTCGACTGTTAGATTCTTCAGTCTAACACAGGAAGGTGGCTGTAGCAAGCTCCCAAAGCTATCAGGAAGATTAAATGAGATGCTGAGTACTTATCAGAGTGTCCAGCACATAGTAAGAGCTGAATAAAACACAGCTAGTGCTATTATTGCTGATTGTTTTCTCTATTGATCTTTCAAGAACAGCAAAGCAGTAAGTAGAAAAATTGACCTGCTGAAGGATATACGGCTAACACTGAGGACTGAAGAGTTCTTGACTTAATTCAATAAATTTTCCCCCGGGAATTTTGATGAAAACTGAATAAAACTTTATTATAGTTGCAAAATGCAAAAAACATTTTTCTTAGGAAGATGGAAAATTACTGCCTGCTTCTGACTGTCTGTGCCAGAAAAAGAGCTTATTGGTGCAGATCATCAAAATCAACAAATAGTCTAACCAGCTGGACCAGGGCTCAACACTTACTCCCTGAGTCAGGAAAATCTGCCATGGCACCAACTCCAACAGTTAGAAGAGGAATCTCTTGCCAGAAATGCCATGCTCCCACTGGCAGGATAACCCTTTGCCTCACCCAACTAGGTCAGCACTGCTTCCTTGGCTGTATATAGTGGTTCTGGGATGAAGGACCAACAACAGTCAGAGGCCCGTGGTGCATGACTCCCTAAGTACTCTATTAACCTGCAGTGTCTACGATGCAGTTTGATGCAGCCATCTTTTGGCTAACTAGGCAAACGTAAGTCCAGATAGCGTTACATTTTACCAAAAGATATACTTCAAGTCATGAATGTAAGCACTAAAAGGAGAAACTGTTAAAAGTGGCTTTCTCAGGAGAATCATAGCAAGGATGGGATATGGAGAAAGACAGACTTTTTACTGTTCATTTACAGTCTTCTATACCATAGGAAGTTTTTTTTTTTCTTAATCATGGACATATGTAATTTTGTTATTATTTATTAGTTTTTTGTATCAGGGTAATTCACCTAATTTAAGTCAAATAGTACTCAACATTTCATAACAAAGAAGGGCAGTGCCCATGCTCTACCCCGCACCCATCTCCAAGCCCTATCCTCAATGGCCCACACTATCCACTCTTTTGATATTTATCTTCATATTTTATATGACATACTTATAATGCTATTTCTTGATTTTACAATATTAGACATTAGCTACTGACTTTCTATAGTAAAAAAGTAACAATTTAGGTCACTCAACAGAACCTATCTCATCCTCCCATCTAACAATTCTGGTTAAATCATTAGTCAGTAGTTCATTTACATTATAATTACAGAATTATTGTTCACTCCTGAAACAAGTATTATTTTGATCCAATTTTTTATACAAGATTTTATTATTTCTGGAATTGCCTACTTTTTAACAGATTATTTTTTTAGGTAACTGACATTTCTTCCCCAATGTTCAAACAGATCTATCAAATACACATCAAAAAAATTTTTTTTCAAATAATAAAACACATCAGACAAATGATCATTTCCTTTTAAATTTTCTCCCTAGATATATCCTTCTTGGTGCCTATGTCTGGACACATTGATTTCTGTCTTGGGTCAAGCCTTAGACATTGATCCTATTACAGTTTCCTGTTTTCTGGCTGGTAAGTCATCCTGTTTTTCAGTTTACTCCCTTTTTTAGTTAAAGTATGTTCTCTGGGTAACTTTCATAAGAAAGAATATATGAATAATACATTTTTAAAAGTATCTGTATGCCTGAAAATGCCATTTTTCTAGTATACACTCAACAGTTTGGCTAGGTATAAAAATCTATGTTGAAATTAATTTTTACTCAGGATTTTTAAGGGGCTACTCCACTGTCTTAAAGATTGTAATATTACAACTGAAAAGCCCTATGCCATTCTGATTCCTAATACGTGGTCTTGTGATTTGCTTTTTTTGTTTCTGAAAGCTTTAATAATCATTTCTTTTTTCCCTGGCATTTTGAAATTTTACAATGTTAGACCTTGGAATGGGCCTTTTTTCATGCTTTGTGCTGGGTTTTCAGTGGGCCCTTTTCAATCTGGAGGCTTGTTTTCTTCAGTTTGGGGAATTTTTCTTGTATTATTATTTTAAAATATTTTGATGTCATACATTTTAATATTTCCTCTTCTTGGAACTCCTGGACATTGGTTTTTGTCTCCATTGGATTTCTCATCTAACTTTCTTCTATTTTCTATCTCGTTATCTTTTGATTCTAACTTCTGGGAGATTCTCTTGACTTCATCTTCCAAAACTTCTACTGAATTTAAGAAAAGATTTCTGCCACAATTTTCATTCCCAGGAGATATTTCTTCTTTTCACTGTTTTACACAGCATGCTATTTTTATCTTATGGATATAATATCTTATTTATTAGAATATTATAGCATTTTAAGTGTTCTCCTCTACTCTATTATATATTGCCCCAATTTCCTTTTTTTCTGTTTGTCTATTTTTAGACAATCCCTTATGTTAGAGGCTTTCTTCAAATACATGTTGATACTTGGCTGTCATT